GGGGGGCCTAAATATAGGGAGTGGGGGGGGGGGGGTCTCTTCAGGGCAATGCTGTGTTATGATAGACAATACCGCCAACTGCAGTTGAAAGGTATACATTTTTATTGTAATTAAGGCCACACCGACTTAATTTATGGATGACATCCGCGCGCGCATTAGTTTTCGCCTGTACTCAAAAGAAAAACAAATCTCCGACGACGAGTCTCCACAGAACGATTTTCTGTCCGGAACTTGTCGACTCATATTGTCGCAAAGCGCCCACTTGTCGTAAAACTAGTTTTGGACTACCTCAAAACCAAACTCCGCACAGTTAGATGCGCGTTACGTAAAGCGCAAAGACATATGAAGGAGATTGCCTCAAAACATGCCAATTTTGTCATAAATGATCCATCATGGCGACCACACGACCAAAATACGAGAGCATAAAAGTTCAGAGGTAAAACGGAGGGATTGTTGTAGACCGGTACGCAATTGGCGTTGGCCAGGGAGATGTGACGTTTACACAGCTATACGAGAGATCGGTAGCGGCAAGCGAGCTACGTCCAGACAACTATGATGAAATTGTTTTCGCGTATCTGTTAAATCGACTCAATTAGCTGATTACTAACGAATGGCTGTGTTATGTCTGGCACCGTTTAGGCCATTTGAGGTTCTGGACGGAACTCGACTCAGTGATTTGGAACTAATTACGAGATAACCGTCGCTATTCGGACTACTATTTCTGACAGTTAGTATTCGTAATTATTAATGTAGTGAACGATTAATCAAAAAATATGACGTGTTCGGTACTTAGTGTGATTGGCTGTATGATTGAAGGTTACGCCCTAGAGTCTTTTTACTGCTTTGTAATTGGTTAAGATTTTGAAAATGAATAAAGAGAGTTTGAGTTGGTCTTGGCGAGTACACCACGATAGACGCAGTAGAGTCCTGAAGAGTCTTGGGTCAAGTCTTGACGCAGACTAGAGAAAGTCTTGGGTCAGCCTTGCGATAGTCTTGGTGACTTTCCCCCCAGGGCGGTGTGTCTTATAGAGTGCTCGACTGACCGACTAAGACGAGAGTTGAAACGTATTTTGTTGTGTGCGTCTATTTGACTGTAAAGCTTAAGTGACTTTCCCGATCCCGTACCTCAAGGGGACGCGATAAAGAGACGAGACGCTATTACCCCCTGGCACGTGTGGAGAAACCCTAGAGAAGAAGAATTTTCCCCCTGATACAACTTTAAGGACATATTGTCCAGGGTGGCTGTCCCGCGTTTTTTTTGCAACGATGAGAGAAATGGGAGAGGAGTGGAGGTGTATGGTGGCCTAAGAGTCGGTCAGGCGACAAGTCAGTTCGGTTGATTTGTCCGCATTGAAGCCGACAAAACTGCAACGAAAGCAGCGGAAGCTCCCCGGCCGAAGTCCCCTTTCGAGGTGAAGAAAAGTTTTTTATTATTTTTGTTTTCATTTTTTGATTCGGATAACTTGCTTGCACACACAGTCAGTAATATTTTTATCATATGACAAATTTTCATCAAGATACATGTACATAATTTTTTGCATCCAAATGAGTGTTGACTTTTTGTTGGTGTTTTTTTTTTTTTTTTTTTTTTTTTTTTTTTTTTTTTTCAATATCGAGCCTCTTATAATTTGTTACATAGTTGAAGTAGTTCTAGAGCATTTGTGTCTACACTTAGTCTATCTGAAGTGTCACTTACGAACCAGTTGAGCAAGGCTAACCGAGTCGTGACCTCGATGTGGTTCGTAACCAGTCTTGTGATTGGTTGTTGACAAAATGCTGAACAGGCAACGCCTCCAACTGTGCCGTGCGTTTGGGCAAACCGTTAGGAATTCCTAAATGGAGTCAATTTGTGTAATTTTCTTGATTTATTCTGCAGATATCGGTAAAAAGTGGGTAAGACTTTGGCGAAATTTGAAGGAGCAACTAATATTCTTCAACCTGGTATTTTTTTTAGATTTTATTTTTCATTCTTTTCGTCTGTTTTTTTAAAACAGGCGTCTGTTTTTTTGTGTGTGTGTTTAAAAAATGATGTGTGTATTAAAATGACGCGTGTTTAAAAACGACGCGTGTGTTTTAAAATTATGTGTTTCAAAAATCATGTGTATATTAAAATGATGTGTATGTTTTTAAAAATGAAGTGTGTTTAAAAAAGACGTGTGTGTTTAAAAATGACATGTGTACTTTAAAATGACGTGTGTGTTTAAAATGATATAAGTAATTTTTTTTTTCAAAATTACGTGTGTGAGGTTGAATGAAAATGTTCGTGCATGTAAAAAGAAAAAAAAACAGCGTGTATTAACCTATTTACGCCTTTAGAAGGCGCAATTTTTGAATGATTTTTTTTTCGTGTGCAAAAAATGCGTGCGTTAGTGTTTTTACGCATGTGGAGGGCGCTATCTTTGAATTTTTGTTTTCGTGTGTGTGTGAAAAAATCGTGTGCATTAACCTATTCACGCCTGTGGAGGCGTCGTCTCAAGTGGTAGCCATTTTCGTTTGTGGATTTCTATAACGTCAATAAGGTACGTAGAAAGGAACGTGTCCAGCACGAACGTTTTATTCATTCCGCCTTATAAATTTACCGACACTGTCAGAGGCCTGTCGATTTATTCGTGTGGTTAGTTGCTGAAGACAATACGTGGACGCCTAGGCCCGAATATTGGTCTATTCGTAATAAATCCGTCGCAGTGCACCCACACGCGTTCAAACCTTGAAATAGTAACCACTGGGGACTCGAAAACCAAGAATTGTATTACAGCGGGCGCAAGATATCTACATATACATAACACTCGCACCCGGTAGGCAATTACAAATGTACCAAAAAATGTACCAACACCCCCAGAAACGAAAATAATAAAATTTATTGATATAATTATTAAAAAAAAAATACCCCTAACATATAATGAAATTAATGAAACTACCCTCGTGAGTAGTTTCCACTTTTATGTTCGTATTATATTTCTTGCAAGCGTTACACAGCAATGATTTTTGTAGCTACAAAACAACGGAATAGGCTCACTATGCCGTCCCTCGTAGCCAAACATCAAAGGCCGGTGTTTTGATTAACTGTCACGTAGGCGGGTATGTAACTTTATTGCGACTACAACGGTCACTGGACTGTCTAGGAAAGTGTCTGGGGATGTTGAACAGTCCCTTGGT